CGCGGTCGACTACATGTGAGTTCAGCGACATAGCCATTATGCCAACTACTGGTCCCTCTAGATCATATTTAAAGAGGAAAAGATAGCATGTGGCAGAATAAGGACATGTCTCCTTCACTTCCGTGCTGTTTTCAGCCAACCCGTTGTTTTAACCTCTGTTACCAGAGGCCCCTGGGGTGAAGGGTGTGAGGAGGAATGAGTTCTGGGACCCCAACCTAAAAACATGTAACAATTATGCATCAGGGGTTTTATATGCTGTTTTTATTTAATGGCTAATACCCTTTTTTTGTTTGTTTTTTGCCTTATGGTGCATGCTCTCACCTAAGAGAGACAGAGACATTGAGATGGAAAATGAGAAGTCACCCCCAAGGGAGGATGGCCACGTTGGAATAGTTTTTCCTCTAGTCTCTTCCTGGGATTTTGGGCACACATTCACATACACACGACATGATTTTCAAGCCACTAGGTCCAGGGCCAGCCCACAGTCGGCCATGTGGGAGTCCAGCGCCTAAGCCATTATGCCACCTACTGGCCCCTCTGCCTAATAATTTTAAGAAATGCGTGTTGTAGGGCCAGAGTATGGTGTAGTAGTTACGCCACTGGACCCCTACATGGTTGACCACGGTTCCAGCCCCAGACCCAGTGCCTTAAACCTCATGCCAGGCGCGTGTGCGTGCATGCCCAAGAACCCGGGAGGAGAACGGAGGAGAAGGGATTGCAGCATGGCCATCCCCCTTGGAGGGTGATTTCTCACTTTCCATCTCTCTATCTCTCTGTGTCTCGGTAGCCAGCACGCATGCCCTATGGCAAAAAATCTCTCTCTTAAGAAAAAAAGAAAGAAAAGAAATGTGTGTTGTAGGTAAGGAGTACCTTAAGTGTAGTGGAGAACGACACTACATCACACAAACAAGGATTTTTCAGAGGCCATGCTCATGGAAAGTTTAGATAGTTATCCATGGAAAATGAACATCTAAGCGGGTTATTGAAAGTCATGTTTAAATTTACCAGGACAGGTAACTCGGTCTAATGGTGTGGACCCTACCAACCACATCGTCATCACAGTCCAAATGCGACAATGCGCTCAACCTGTAAAACTGATGAACGGGACTAACATGGAGAGCCAGGCCCTGTGGTTCAGTGATTGTTTAAAATATAGGTTTTATTATTATTCAGGCCTGGAAAGGTCACCAGTTCGGGAGATGGCTGGCATTGAAAAGAGTTTCTAATCACAGCTCATCAGATGGTGGAGCGACCCCGCAAGCAGGAGCCACCCTGGGAAGCACTGGGTTGACCAGGAGGTGGAAGGAACAGGGGGAGACGTAGGCAAGGGCCTCCATTGTGGGTTTTCTTTTTATAGAGAGAGATTTTTGCCATAAGGTGCATGTAGTTGCCAGAGAGAGAGAGAGACAGAAAGCAAGAAAGCATCCCCCAGGGGGGATGGCCGCTCTCTTCTCCTCCATTCTCCCCTCGGGATCTTGGGCACGCACGCACATGCGCCCCGCGTGAGTTTAAGCCACCGGGTCCAGGACTCGAACCGCAGTCAACTAGATGGGAGTTCAGTGATATAGCCATTACGCTAACTGCTGGCCCCACCTGGCCTGAGTTTTAAGCCACCAGGTCTGGGCCTCAAACCGTGCCAGCTACCTGGGAGTCCAGCGACGTAACCACTACACCATCTGCTGGTCTCCTCCGCTGTGCTTTTGAGGGAAGGCAGGGTGAGCAGGCTTGGCCTGGCTAGTTGAACGGTCTTGGCTAGGGGGCTTGTCCCTTATTGTCTGGTACCTGCATGATTAGGGCAAGAGGACGGTGGCCTGAACACAAGACCCCAGTGAGAACCTGATAACGGATGGCCAGGTATGAGCCTTGGACTGGTCAGTCTGTACAGGAGAAAGCCATGCTCGTGGGCAAGGCTTTTACTATTTCTAGGAATTGAGTAGGTCTGAGAGGGATCAGGAAAGCTCCAGAGGTCAAAACTTCAGAAAAGGCCCAGGGGTGCGTGGGCAGGGCTGCTGCGGTGTGATGTGGAGCCCCGTGGAAGGCTCTAGGTTCACCTTGCAGGTCTCCCTGCACACGCTGAGTGAGCCCGTGACCCTGCCTGGGTGCGGGGTTTGGAGGAGGATTACGGTGTGAAGTTCTGTCAAAGATTTTTTTTTCTTTCAGAAAATAACTTTTTAAAAAAGGCATGATTAATACTTGAGACACATGACACACCAGGAGCTGTAATTGGCTCTAACAGTTTTGCACATTCAGCCGCATTTTACTCGGTGCCTGCAGTATACTCAGCATTGTGTTGCCACGGGCTAAAAGGGACCATCACACATGGCCCCTGTCTTCACAGAGTTGGTAGGCTAAGGGAGAAAACAGACCCAGAAACTCATAGTCACAGGCCCAGATGGTGTGGAGTCAACCAGAACTGCTACAACTTGAGCAGGGAAGGAAGTCTCTCAGCCAGGAGAGGCCAGGGAATGCGGTAATAACAGAGGATCTAGTAGTTGATTTTCTTTGCTGTCATAGGGATGCAGACAAAACAAGCTCCTGGAGGCAGAAAGAGATGCAGACTTTAAACGCTTCCATTTTGAGGTCAAGGTCCCTTTCAGTGTTTGTGAATAGGTGTTTAAGGACCACTAAGAATGGCTGGTTTTCCCAAGGAGGGCATCTAAGATCGGAAAGGAGCCTCTTGTCCATCTTACAAATGCAGCTATTCATTTTACCATGGGAATCTCTGGGATCTAACTGTCTCTTCTTTTGGACAGATACCTTCCATAACCAGTGGACACGCTTTGGAAGAAACTGGTGGCAAAGAGAACAGTGGGAAATGTAGTTGTTCTGCGTGAGCTTCAGAGGGAGGCCAGCGCCACAGAGGTGTCCCTGCAAGAGCTTCCTCATTGTTCTCTTGGCCACCAGTTTCTTCCAAAGCTTTCCTCTTGCCTCTATGAATCCAGCACTATCGTTCTTCAAAAAAGAGCTGCTGAAGGCAGTCCCTTCTGCAGACAAAACATGTGACCTGTAGGAAAAAAAAATAAAGTCTCTTTGGTTTGACATAACCAGCTTGTACCCATCTAAACCCAATTTTTTCCCAGCTTTCTTTCCTGCTCACTGGCCCAGACCTCACATTCTTGACTCAGGGAATGTTCTGCTGTTCCCTGGATATGCCAGCATTTTCCATGTGGTCTTGTCTTGGCTTTCAGACTGGTCCCTCTGCCGAAAAGCCCTTCATTCCCTCTTACTCTGGTCTGCAAAATCTAGCTCAGCTGGCTCTTTTCTGCGAAGCACCCCGATTTCCCAGCACAGATCAAGTTCCTGGGACTGTCATGCCAAAGTGCCAATATGGTCCTTGTCTCTTAGCAAAAAAAAAAAAAAAAAAAAAAGAAAAAGTCATTGCACTTTATCTGTTGCCTGTCTCACTCTTTGAATTAAAATTTACCCATGGGTAAGGATGATGGTCTTCATATTCATATGCCCAATGTCTGGCTAAAAGGCAACAACAGACATGGAAATAGCATTTGTCATATATTGAGTCCTGACAGGGTGGGAGGCATTGATCCAAGTTTGTTTTCTTTTTCCATTTCATCTGCATCTACACCTTATAGCCTCACAACCACCTTAGGGGTAATAATACCATTCCCATTTTGAAAGCAAGGGCCAGGGACCAACAGTTGGCTTAATGGCTATGTCGCTGGACTCCCATGTAGTAGACTGCAGTTCGAGTCTCAGACCTGGTGGCTTAAACTCACACTGGGTGCATATGCATGCGTGCCTAAGATCCTGAGAGGAGAAAGGAGGAGAAGGGATTGTGGCATGGCCATATCCCCTGGGGGGGTGATTTCTCGCTTTCTGTCTCTCTGTCTCTCTCTGTCTTTCTGGCAAGTGCAGGCGCCCTATAGCAAAAACTTCTCTCAAAAATAAAATAAAATAAAATAAATTAAAAAAAAGAAATGATTACTTTGTGATCTACCTGCCCAAAGGTAGCAGTTCTAGAGTACATCCTATGAGTTCCAGTGTGTGAGACTCCCTAGAAGTTTATCTGCGTGTGTGCATGTCACTTCTTCAGTGCATCTCCACTGGCCCCACAAATTAAGTTGCTGGTGCTTACAGCTGAGGCCACCCTCAGAGGAAAGGTATTATCAAGAAGTTCATTGCAAAACCATATTTTGGATTTGACCTTGTTCTCACAGCCACATTTTCACAGAGTGTTGAGATCACATATTCCGGACCCATGGAACCAAGCCAATGAACCTGAACCTTGGCTTCTTGCATGCTACACCTATGGTTACACTTCTTTGTTGTGAAGATGTCAGCCATGACAGTCCCCCACTCAGAAGAGTGTCACGAGGATCAGAGAGGATCACGGGCACTCAGCCTGTGCAATTGCAAAGAGACCCAAGTTTAGAAGGGCTCACACTTGGCTTAATAGTCTGCTGTCCCTGATTTGAAAGTCTTAGTAAATTTTAAACAGGACACCTCACAGTTTCGTTTTGTTCTGGGCCTCACAAATTATGTTGCCATTCCTGGTAGGCTTGTGCGTGAAGTCAGTAGCTCATAGTGCCTGACCCAAGGAATAATCTTCATTAAAATAGCTCTTATGAACTTTGTAAGGGAGCATTTAGTTTGCCGAGTCTTACCCAGACATCCTATTTTCTGAATGTTTCCCATCTGGTATGGGCATTGAACCTGATGGTGAGGTTCCTTCAACACATTCCTTAAAGTATTTGGCTCACACTTGGTTGGTAAGCCAACCAAGATCTTTCACGTCACTGGTCCATTTCTCCGTGATTATACCTCTGTTGGCATGTAGGCTGTGGATGGCTGCTGATTCAAACTATGGAGACATTGTTTTCTATAAACATGGGCCACAGAGCTCAGTAAGGAATATTAGATATGTAACATTTTCTGTAGTCTGAGAAATGACCCCTTTAGTCTGTACACCATATAATCAGCATTACTTCAGAAAGGTATTGGAAGAAAATCTAATATTCTTTTTTGCTTTTATTATTTTGCAGACTGTTTGAACTCCAGAAGGACCAACCCCAGATAAATTATGAATGTTGAACAAGATGACCTTACATCCACAGCAGATAATGATAGGTCCTAGGTTTAACAGGGCCCTATTTGACCCCCTGCTTGTGGTGCTGCTGGCTCTTCAACTTCTTGTGGTGGCTGGTCTGGTGCGGGCTCAAACCTGTCCTTCCGTGTGCTCCTGCAGCAACCAGTTCAGCAAGGTGATTTGCGTTCGGAAAAACCTACGTGAGGTTCCGGACGGCATCTCCACCAACACGCGGCTG